TATGTATTGAGTATTTTTCACACATCTTGTTATGCGGACGTTAGTTTTAGTAGTGAGAAAAATTAGTCCCATAAAAATCTCCGCTACCCTTCAGGGGTAGCAACCATCCCGTGTAAAAGCTCAATGCCATGAAGATTGTCGCCTTCATGTGCAATAATTGACTTAATCAACCGAATTTGAGTTTTACATATTTAGATGAAATTTTCAACTATTTATTTGGAAAATAAAGTTATCGCTATCAATTGAATCGAAACATTGCTATTTCTAATTGATATCTCTGACTAATATCTGTAATTATGTTCAATTATATTCTAATGATATGTTTTGATAAATAACAAATTATTACATAAAATCAGCAAAATATTTGAATTGATTTCAAATTGGTTATTATCAATGGCATTGATCCATGTAGAAGTACCGTATAAGTAGACAAATAAAAACAAATTAAAATCTATGTCAATATATGCGTCTAAGTTCGGTAACGAGTCCATGTTTGTTTATCATAAAACATTCATTAAATTTGACTTATCTTGTTGACTTAAATTACTTTAAATGCATATAATTATTAAGTATAGAAAACATTCACGTGAACTTATGTCAAATGTGCGTGTTTCATTTTGATGGTCTACAAAGACATTAATGAAGCAACCTTGTTGCATTACGTTGTCTCTTAAATCACATGCACTTGGAATTAAATTTGTTATTAAATGCATTTCTATATTGTTATAAAATATTAAATAGCAAACGTGAATTCTTAAATACGTAGGTGGTTATTGTTTACATGCTGATTCTTTGATAAGCTTTGATTAAACTTGAATAACAAGATTGTTTCACACCAACTTACAATGTTGATGGAAATAGTCGACATATATAAGTTCATACTAATAATTTTGATAAGACTGTAAATTTATATCTCAACATAACAAATAAAATAGAAAATAATAATGAAAGATATAAACTAAATTTAGAGAAAATTTTAAAAGAGATCAAGAATGCTGCCTTCAAGGTTATACGGGAAGTTCCAGCAAGGCACGATGCCATACACCACTAGTTTTCAAGTTAGATTTAACAGTATATTTAAATATTCTCTATGAAAGTTCAAATGTGAGAAAGGTAAAAAGGACCAACTGAACCTATACTATGACCATACCATGGCAAAGATGTAAACACTCTAAAATACTAAATTAAAAAGTAAATTAAGTTAAAAAAAAACAAATTTACAAGAACTAAGTTTAAATAAATAGTTATCCCAAATCTGCTGATAAATATTTCTACCGAAATACCAGATCAAGATTATATACAGTGTTATCTCTGTAAAATTTATATTTGGCATTGGCAAAATGATGTAGCTATTATTTCGTAAAATCCCTTTAAAATTAAAAATAGGATATTAGACTGTTTGCCCTAAGGCTGTCTCATTTTATTCAGGGCCAGGTGGCCAATATTTGAAAAACAGCAAAAATACACATTTCTATAATGATTAGTTGAGAGTTTTACTGAATAGAGTCAGAGATTCGATTGTTCTATATGTGGTATTTCTTATGATATAATTGCTTTGGTTTTTGCAATATAATTGCTCCAAGTCAAATTGGACCTTTATTCCCTGCCTTATCCTATTATTCAAACGTTAGATGACCATGAAATTTTTATCACATGATCACACTTTTGTATATACAAGATAATTTGTAATTGTTCAGTTAGTGTGTTTTTGCATGCATTATATTTTCACATGATTAACCATGTGAAAATATAATATTTGTATATCATATACATTCCATTCATTAAGTGCTAATTCAGAATTTTTGATTGGGATTGCAATTTTAATATTTTTAATTTTCAATTATTGGTAGAAAATGCATGCATTCTATATATGAAACACACTCCGATAAAATTTGTGAGATATTTTATTAAATATATTATGTACTTACGCTAGTTTAGAAAATGATTAGAAAAATTACCCCAATGTAAGTAAAATTGTTTTGAAAATAAACCTGTCTCATCAGTACACTCTTACTTTCTTACTCTATCTAAACAATTTATCTTAACATCTTAATTTATTTCACATACATTTATTTATTGATAGACAGAGGCATATTAAAATTATCTAATTTTTTTATTGCACTTTCCATAACTCTATTTTAATCTGCAAAGTTTAAATATATGTGAAACATCTATATTTTCTTCTATATATCATATACAACATAAGCTTCTGCGAATAAATTCATAAATTCTCTATTTCTTGAGCAAACGTGCATTTAGTTTGTTACATATTACATATGCAAGCACAATATTTGCTTTAGGAATTTGAGCTCCATAATTAATATACATAGTTATAAATGTCACTTGTCGCACTTATTTATGCAATTTTATCGATGTGGAAAAGTTTTCTCTATTTATTTATTCATTTGTGTACTCTAAGAATTATTTGGCTTACAATGTATGTTATAAGATTTGCTTTGCGATTTTAAAAATTATGAAAACTTCAATCAATTGGAATAAATACAATTAATGTAAGCTTTAGAATTATAAAATATATTATTATAGCTTTTAATTCTGATAAACTTGAAATAAGGTAATAAAAATAACATTAATAAGTAATTATTTAGTAATAAAAATTAATTATGGGTTTGTTACAGTTTTAAGTATAATCGCATTTATTGATAGGTTAAACCAATGATTTTCAACCTTTTTCGTGTCGCTCTTCTCCGCGCTCTAATAAAAAAAATCTTACGTCTCTCTTAGTTTTTTCAAAAATGCAATTTTATAAACACTTAACTGTTATTATCAGACTACATATTACAAATTAATATGCAATATCACGTAAAAATGTGCATAAAAGGTAAAAACAAATCATTAACTTTCCGAAGGAGAAGTTTATGTTTTCATCAAAAAAACCGATTTGCTAATTTTATGTTTTTTTGACGTTTCAAGTCATTCTGAATCGAATGAGATCAAATTTGGAAAAAGTATGTGTGTGTGTGTCTATGTGAACAGATTTTCTGCCGTAAATCGACGTTTTCTCAAAAACGCCTGAAACGATTTCAGAAATTTAAAAACCATTTGATGTATCTCGATGAGGACTATTATTTGTCAGTTTTGAGCGACGATCTCCAAGCCGTCTTTTTTGTAATTTGAAAAAATGTGTTGAACTTTTCGTCCACATTTAAGCTCATACTACCGAATCGATTTTAAAAAATCAAAAACTGTTTGAAAGATATTAGTTGGGCATGATACTGATTAGTTTTATGTGAAAATCTACCGAGCCGTTTTCTTGTAATTAACTGTTGAAAAAAAATTTAAGCCGATTTTTATGAAACTTTTTTTAGCGATATATATAATGGTCTTATAGAACTTACTAAAATTACTAGAACGGCCTCACGACAAGCAGTTTAATCTTAAAAATTCATCAAAGTTTGAGAAAATGAGTAGTTTTTTTGACGTTAACTAAAATTAAAATTTGGTATTAATGAGCATACTAAACCATCAAAGTCCTACAGAAACTGGTCCAAATTTAAAAATTGTTGATTTTTAAAAATTTGCTTTTAGAAAATACTCCGAGTTAACGTGTTCGTTAGTATTCAAATATGTGTAATAAATCCACTCGGAATACTTTTAATCAATCATAAATTAATTTATTTTTTATTGATTAAGTCGACACATATCGAGAAGTTCAAGTAACTTGCCTCAAGGCAAAATACCAATACGAACTAGTTTTTATATCGTTTCCAAAATTTCGGTTTATTTTCGAAATTAGTATTTTGAAAACATAATTACGTGCGCCCTTACAACAGCCAGGCGCCCTCCTGAGGGGTCGCGTCCCACAGGTTGGAAACATCTGGGTTACTTATTTGATATTCTGTTTTCTATTTTCCTAAATGTATATAAAAATATTAAAATTTGTACAATGTAAGCTTATAAATTAATACTGACGCGTACTTCTAAAAAATTAAAAAAAAATACTACCATTTATTATTAAATATTTCAGAATACATTTGATCGATTTTAGAACCTGTTATGTAAAATTTGGATGATGATTTGAATGATTTGCATATGATCACGTAGGTTATTTTTTGCAACATTTTTTTATAAAGTTTCAAGTCTCAATTGAAATAATTAATATTATTAGTTATGATAAATTAAAATTACTAAACAACACCAGTCTTTAGTTAGACTAATAAAATCTTATACGATTCAACAGAATATATTTAAACTTTATGAGAAAACCACAGCATGAATGGTATAAATCGAATTTTGTATTATTTTGCAATTATTTGTCTTGTCAATTATGTGATATTATTAATATTCTATCGCTGAATCTTTTTAATTTTAGTTACATTGGAATTAAATTCTATTTATGTTTCATACTATTTTTTTTTACTATTGTTATGGTTATTTTTTATTGTGAATTCTGCACATCAAGCTAATTTGTTTATTTCTTATTTTAAAAAAAACATGAATATAATATATAACATAAATAATACTACTACATTTATAAAATATAAATTTTATTTAAAAGTATAACATTTATATTATATATGTAATGTAATGTAAAAGTAATTGTTATCAGTATCAATTATAGACTAGAAAAAAACTTAATTCTTATATAACCCACGCCGATATAACATAATATTTTCTTGAAACATAAAATACCTTTACCACATGAATATTAAATATGTGTCATAAATTAATAATATATTGTTTTAAACACAAATCTTCTATTTTAAATATATGTAATTTAAATGAAATATGCGCAGTAAAAATGTTCAAACGCCTAACGTGAATATGAAAAGAACAAGTAAAAATTATTATTAATATATTATATATTGGCAGTCTAAATTTTATGATACATTAAAATTAAAATTAAGAAATAACGAGAAAATCCTAAACTTTTCATAAATGCAAATTACGATAAAAAACTTTGCGAACTTTGTGTATCACTTGAATCATTTAGGACAAGTTATTCAACTTTCTTCACGAGTGCGAAAGGAGTGATTGAGGTCATTTGTGTCTTGATAAGTTAAGTTTACAAGGCTTTCATTTCAATAAGTATCAGTCGTTTGCCAATATTTTATTTGAGATCAGGTGTTGATGCCCCCAAATACGATCTGAGATCTGCGATGGTCGATTTAATAAGTTTGGCTCGAATTGTAGATTGATTTAATCTTTCGTGCGCATAGTAACGGTGGCAGCCTCCAAAACTGAAATAGTAGTCACCTCCTTCCCTGCCTTTGATCCACATTATGTCTATTGGCGGTAAGGACTCACGTCTGATGGGATCCTAAAACGGAAATAATTTTGGTAAATCTATCTTAATTTTTTATATTTAACACACATTTATTATATTTCTAAATATTACGTTGAATACCATTTATTGAAGAATTTATACTAAATAGTTTCATACTATATAAAACAATAAAAAATGTAGTAAAATTGACCGGCAAACACAGACCTTATGCATATATTATAATAAATATATTTATACGAGTATATCAAGCATAGCATTTTTACAGTTTTTAATACCATTTTATATAAAGAAAAGGCGTAACATATTGTTTCTATAACCACGCTTTGTTCTGGTCTATTTTTTGGGGCGTACATTAATCGCGTAGACCCCCCCATACAACATCACCTGTATTTTTAGTATCTAGAAAAATAGTAAAATTTATGAAACTTTTTGAAAAATTTAAGTTTTATTTTAAATCGTGGTAAAAAATAAATACACGTGAAATATTACTAGATCCTCTCTCTCCTAGGTGATATTTCATGAAATTTTGTCAACCCCCCCGCCCTCTCCCTTTAAAGCTCACGTGATTAATCACGCTCCTTTACCGAATATTTGATGACGATTAAAACATTGTTAGGCGTTGAATATTGCCATACAGCAATTTTTATTGGTAAAGTATATTATTCAGGAAGTTCATACAACTTGCTTTAAGGTAAAAGGCCAATTGCAACTACTTATTTTTAACCAGACATGAACACAAAATATTCTAAACAACTTGACATTTCATAATATATTTAGTTTTTTTCAAAAATTTTAATTTAAATAGCAAATGGTCACTGTATAGAACGCATGACGAGTATACTCGTCAACACACAAAATTCTGCTACTTCTCCATGACGAGTATTTTTGTCATACACTGTTAACTGGTTAAGTACCATAACTAATGGACCAATTCTGCCGCATAACAGACCATTGTTATGGCTAGGCTATGTTATGAAGAAGTTTTCATACAAATTCGTTTTAAATATTTACATAAGCCATGTGGTTGCATAAGCCATGTGATAGGGAACCTAATCTAGAAACCGCACAAATGTCAAAAAAGCTATCTTAGATAACAGGGTCTTTCTGACTCAGCTTCATAACACACAAGTGACGTTGCAGTTTATGTGTAAATGTGCCCGAATGAACATCAAATACATAGTATTTTGATAGTATTCAATATGATTTAGTGCCATAATGTATGGAAGTTGGAGCGTAACATAGCCATGCCATAACATTGGTCTGTTGCAGATACAAATAAGTATTTTCTCTTTTCTACTACAATAGATATATGATAAATTAATAACTGTAATACAAACGATACATTATTTTCTAAATAAATTCTAAATAAATTACATAAATATTTTAGCTACTATAATGATACATAGCAATTGCAAACCACAAATTGCGCCGTGTATTGTATCAACAAAAACTACATATACGAGTTCAATCAATTTACAAATAGAATCACATATGGAGGTAATACTGCCCTTTCTCAGACACACATACAGTTAAATATATATATATATATATATATATATATATATTTTTTTTTTTTTTTTTTTTTTTTTTATTTCTGTTAATTTTAACAATCAGATTACAATACAATCTATAAGTTAAAAGTTATGGTATTGAAAATCAAAATCAAAAAGAAAAAAAAATAGATATATATATATAAATAAAATTGTTAAAATTTAAAGCACATCTGCTGCAATTTCATAGTCGTTTAAAATCAAGTTTATTTCTCGATTATGTAGTACCTACTCAAAAATCTGTTCTACACGAGTCGTATTGTATTCTATTGCTACGCAATGATTTATTTTAGTGGGAAGTTTCAAGTCTGCCAGAGAATATCTAGTTTATTTAATTGATGACAATACGCAAGTGTGGTCTATTTGTGAAAGCAATCTGTTTGAAAATCTAAGTTTTCGACATGCACGTCGTGCTGGCCAACAAATTAATCAAGAGCGAATGTGATCCCATATTGTCTTTGGCACAGGCAAAGGCAACTTGGAATCTTCTTTTAGAACTGAAACAGTACAATATTCGATAAATTAAAGATTTCGAATTGTTTCACAGGAATTCCTCCAATTATACGAATCAGAAAACTAAACGTCTTAAACGTCAGATATTTTGCTCTCATTTTTGAAAAGATATGAGAATTTTGAAATTTTACCATAATTTGTGAGTAACTTTCAGGTCACATTTTTTGTCACTTTCATTCTCAAGTTTTTCGATATTTTATCAAATTATTTGGCTTTTTTCATGAGTTTTTTGACTTTGCCTAGGCTTTTCAATCTGAAATTGCATTGTCATATACAAAAGTGGGAACATTGTATGCTGCTGTCACTTGAAAGTCACATAATATATTATTACCAAAAAAAAATGGTTTAAATAGAATTTCCTGTTTTTTGCACATGTAGGCCTCTGATTACTGATTGTATGTTACCCTAATTTTTTTGGTTATAAAACAAAAATTCGGCTTATAGAAGGTGGAGATAGGTTGGAGCAAATTGGCTACAAATTAGACTATAACATTTTATACAAAAAGAAAAAAGTTTATTTAAAATATTGATGTATAATGAAATTATTATTGAATTGTTAACTATTGGATTTTTATTTAACGCGCCAAATTAGGGAAACCAAATTAAACTGAAATATTAATAAAAGCGTTCCAAAGCACAATCGTGAAGTTAAATAAAGAAGATTTATGAGAAAGCTCTCCAGTTAAAATAACTGCAAATTACTAAAAAAGCGATTTTTCTGTGCACGTGTCTCCATCGTAGTATATTTTATTTACAATTCTCGAAATTTTGCTCAAATTCGAAAAATATAAATAAATATCTGCATAAAATATTCTTCAGTACATAATTTAATATGTAGTTTGCCTAGGTGCTACATTAGTTAGAAGTTGAATTTAATACTTAAATATACAATTTTGAAATTGTGGACACTTTGACATCAATTCCCAATTTTTTAAAAATTTTATTATATTTTTTATTTATCTCATGAGTCACTTACATAAAATAAATATTGAAATGACAACTGGTAATAAACAAGCCCATGACCCTATATTTTTTAAAGTATTTTATTATTTGATATTTCAATATATTATTAATAATATAACTTACTGGTCAGAGAATTATTTTAATAAATATAAGTTGAGCAAATATGAAGCAATGCACTTTACAGATTGCAAATCGCTTAATAAATATTTCTGTAAAGAATACTCGTATATGTGCGTAATACTAATAAATATTTATGTATAAATAGAATATAACTATATATTCTCAGTTGTGACTCTATAGGTAGACTATTCGATCTTCATCGATGTATTGTTATTCACGATATGATAAAAATAGATTTATTTATGGTAATTATAATTAAATTCTGCTACGGAAATTCTTGACCCAACAGGTTGTTAGAGAATTCAATGCAATTGGTATAAGGAATGCATTTTCTATACAAATAGTATTTTAATATTTTTATATAAAGCACATTACCTTTATATAGATTGAACAGAAACACCTAATTAACAAAGATAATTAATAACAATTCATTAAATTTTTTAATTAAAATTTTAAAACAATGATGGGTTCAGTTTTGTACTTGAAGTAATGTATTTTTAAATTGAAGTTATAAAATATTTAACAGTATTGATTTTTTAAATATTTTAGATGCTTGCATATTGTATGTAATAGTTAAGTATTGAATGAAATGCACTGGATCATTTATTATTTATTTTGAAATATATGAAATGATTTTGAAAGTATCTATTTTGGAATATGCGTTATGCATTATTAAGAACAAGATTACTGCTGCATTGCAATCCTTGTTTTTATTGGTTTTAAGGATTTTATGACAATTTTTAAAGCGATTCTTTTATATATTTGTTTTGATTATCACAATGCTCTATATTTATATTAATTTACTCACTTATTTATTGTTTTTCTGTACAAAATTCATAATGCAAACCGTCGCAAAATATTCCATTTAAATACTTCAATTTTTCAATAAATATTTTATTTCACGTAATTAATGATTTTAAATTTCACTATGGAGGATGACATACTAAAATTACGGTCAAGTACATTTTTAGTTAGTACTTTGCAACATATTCTCATATTTTTATTATATCATATATATTGTTTACACCTGTCCTGAAATGGGCGACAAGTAAAACTGTAGGACAAACAAGAAAATACTGCAAAATACTAACTAAAAATTTCCATCATCTCATACAAAGATTTTTTACTTACTTGTATAACCGCCATAATAGATTTTATTTTCGATTCATCTATTTCCGGTAAATAAGGTCTGGTTATCACATTCATAGGTACCTCATGTACTTCCTCGATACTGGCTCCATGTATACTCGTCATTTCTAGAATTAGTATAAACTTTGTATTAACTAAAAAACTAAGACAATTCACAATTGTTGAATGACTTGTAATAATAAGGTGTGTTTGACTTGGAGGTTATGTTTTGACTGCATTTAACGCGTTTGTTGTGCGCAGCAACTGAGGACATCGAAGGTCAGGTTTGCTGGATATGCAATATAAATGAAAGTAAATAAATACCGATGGAAAAGCCTGAGAGCTGGTCAGAATTTGAATAAAACATATATATATATATATATATATATATATATATATATATAAACTGTGAAATAATCCTGGGGAAAAAAGCGCTAAGCACACTATCTTGTAGGTGGCGTTTAAACCTACTGCTCAAAGTATATATCTTTAAAACGATGGCTCTCAGGAAAAAAAGTATTAATGATGAGGAATTTCAAGATTTCTTTTATAATTGTATTTTAAGCAATTTTACCAAGTCACAGCCTATTATTAATCTGTGTAACCTTGAATACGTAAATTGACCGAACTAGTAAAATATTTGGAGATTATAAAAAAAGTTTCGACTCGGTTTAATGACTTTCAGGTATATTTGGAATGATCCACTCTGGTTACCAACTCCCCATTTATTCTATATTTTTGGTCACAAGATATGTGTTATCATTCAGCAGGATATACCAAAAAGGACATAACAAAAAAAACTTTTTTATGAAGTTATAGTTGACAGAGAACACTAACAAAAAGGCATAATGATTAAAAATAAAATATATTTTCTTATATAACACATCACTCTCAATAAGACAATAGGATTATTTATATTTATTTCCCCCTGTTTAGACCTACGTGATTAATTGACAGCCCCAAAAGATAAAACTTTTTGATAGAGTTATATGTTAATAAAAAAAAAAAAACATAAGAATAAAATATTTTTAATAAAATTAATATCATTTCAACTAATCAATCTAATTACTCAATAAGAAGGATTATTTATTTGTATTTGGATATTGAAATTTTGAATAATTTGTAGTTGAAATGCTGACTTTAGTAATTTGTCATTTGTAAATACTAATGTCCACATTTCGACTAGAAATTATTCAAAATTTCAATATCCAAGTATAAATAATTCTACGGATTTATCGATTAATGTGTTGTATATTTGATTAAAGATAATTTGTATTGAGAAATGATATTAATTTTATTAAATTTGTTTTAATTATTATTAAATAAAGTTAACGTAGTTTTAGTGTTATTATTAATTATCATAGTTTTGTGTTCTCTATTTTCTATGACTCTATAAAAAAGGTTTTATGTTTTGAGGCTGGCAATTAATCACGTGGGGCTTTAGAGGGGAAAGAGTTTGACAAATCACAAAATATCATAAAATATCACAAGAGGGAAAAGAGTCTAAAAGAACAACCTGATTTTTCACAAAATTTCGAAAAATATTACGATTTTTTAAATGTAACTTTATAAAAAGAAGTTTTATTCTTTAGGGCCTTCAATTGATCACGTGGGGTTTAAAAGGGGAGAGGACTTAAGAGATCACAAAATATCACAAGAGGGGTAAGAGAGGGACAAAGAGCCTAGAGGGGAAATCTAATTTTTCAGAAAATTTCCAAAAATTTTACGATTCTTTTAAAGTGTTATAATTACACGTGTTATTCGATGAAGAGGGGAGTAGATCCAAAAATATTTAAAAATCGATCACGTGACTAATGAGCTTTCTTTTTTCTTGTGTTTTTCTTAATATGAACTGCTGATTTGTCTAGTATTGAAACGTATGGAATAAATATATTTATTTGTATATCAGGCGATTTTTTAAAAATGAAATTTGGACGTTGTTGACAATATAATAGGCGTATTTTTGGAAAGATGCAATCAAAATAATAAAGAGGTAATCAAAATAATAAAGCTTATTTATCTATGGATGTAATCAGATAAATATTCACTTATATGCACATCTAAATGTACTTTTCTTTAGCGCAGCAGTGTTATAATATATATATATATATATATATATATATATATATATATATATATATATATATATAAATATCATAAATAGTTTTATATTTGAAAACTTATATTTTACGTTCATATACCTTATTTTATAGCTAAAATTATTAAATTGTATTCTGAACCTTTTAGTTGAATTCCGATAATAAAATGTAGTTAGCAAAAAAATACGTGGCTCCTCGAAGTATTAAAAGGGTACGTTTTAAACTTATCAGTAAGCTCTTTCTCCATAAGTAACATGCTCATAAATGAGACAATGACATCTAAAGACATTGCAACATTTCTATCACTTATATCAATTCAAATGCATCTTTATCATCATTTTAATTTTAGATCATTTAAAAACCTTTACGTCATATTTCTACTTTGAGCATGTAATCTTAATTTAAGTTGCATCATAAATTTGAGATATCAAATAGTGATTATTATGTAAACAAACATCTATTTTTAAAAAGAGATTATCTTAACAATTGTTGTCATAATTTAATTTATGTTAATAATTCGAATAATGAAGATATACTAATATTATAACTAATAATATAAAATCCGATTATGTAAATAAATCAAATTAATTAATATTTTTTAAATTAATTAATTATTTAATTAATCTTTATTGAAACTAACACTTGAATATAATGGAATATTAATATTCATATTATTATTATTTTTTTTAAAAAAAAAGCATAGACTAATTATATTTAATATAGATTATATAAATTATTAACATATGATTTTGCTCGTTAGTTTAATCCTTGCTACATAAAATTATTTTTATATTTATAAAGTCACAAAAAATAAATTTTATATTTTACCTGACATGCCCAACTTTTTCTTTTATGCTGTTTATTAACTTGTTTATGGAAATAAAACTTCGATGATAATTACCATAATTTATGATAATGATGCTAATTTAACCGCGAGCGTTGCACAAAATTTAGTAAATTAAAATAAATATTTTAAAATTAACTAAAGTTTACTTAAATAATTTAAAATTAACAATTTGAAATTTTGTATATTGACATCTGTCATTTTAATTGTAATAAAAATATTGCATATTTTCCTAGATTAATTTTCAAAACTTTGACGAAGGGAGTTTGCTTAATATTAATTAGACAGCAAATGTCATAAAAATTCAATTGAAGAATGAAATTGATCAAAATTAAATCCATAAACAGATTTTTTTAACTTACCCATGGAATTGCAACTGTTCACTATGATTTTTATTGATTATTAAACAGACTAACTTATTTGACTTTTTATATTAATATATTATAATTATCGGTAATATTCAACTTTATTTGTAAATTCAAATATTAAGAATGTCTGCTGTTTATAGCATGTCACTAAGAACACACAAAAATATCTGGTATTGCAATTTTTAATCAAATTCACTGATAAAAAACAAGTCTTTTTATAAATATAGATACAGAGGCAATGCATGAGCATTTTTGATGAATCATAAAAACAATTGTGTTGTGACAATATTATCGATAAGATAACTTCGTCGTATGTTAAACAATTATTTACAGAAACACCAGAAACTCTATTGATAAATAAAATACTAAGTTTGTTTACTTTATATGCTCATTGAAAATATGATGTATAATCAATTTTTTTTTCCAATTCAAGTTCTCGTAATACTTTGTGAAAATATTCTTTCGAAAAACTCATGGAAACATTATTGCACATATACATCAGGGTGGTTCTTAAAATGGATGTTTTTGAATTTCCTTGTTCCCAGGGGCTCAAATGCTTCGACATTGACAAGAAAAATCTCTGAAAGTTACAGCTCTTAATATTAACTCTAACATAGTCTGCACTCCAACTAACAATACATATTTTATGAAATATATCAAATTTTTGTTGTAATTTTTTTATTTATGATCAATATAAGCAAATACAATGTTATTCTCAAAATTTCGATTCACTTTTCGCTAAGTTATAATACAAATGGAATTTTACCCATGTTATTTCCATAGAAACTTTATTGGAGTGTGGACTATCTTAAAGTTAATATTGAGTTAAAACTTTCAGAGATTTTTTTTATTAATTAGGAAGCATTTTCTTTGAAATTCGAAAACATCCATATTAAGGACATCCATATTAAGAACCATAATATACATATACATATATGCATTAAGAAAACTTTTCGCATTGGTAGATTTTGGTACAATTTTTGTCTAAATTTCTAAATTTCTTAATTTTTTTTAAACTTTTGTAGGGTCATTAGATACATGCACATCAAATTATTACATATTTTGTAGATGTTTTCTGTGGGTTCCATTCCAATGTTTATCCGTTTTACTGTGACGCGGCGCCCATGCGCTTTGATATTTAGTTTTTTCGCAGCTAATGTATCGCGACTGCTTTAAAAATAATCAAAATTTCCAAAACATTTTATAGTGTAAAAAAATCTAATTTTTCAAAAGGATCCATTTTTACCAAAAATTGCAAAAATTCTCAAAAATCTATTTTTTCAAATTCCAAAAAAGTTTTGAATCATACTTAAACATTTTAATTTTTGGTACGGGAAGCTGAAACTTTATTATTTGCCTTATGGCACGATGCCATGCACCACTAGTTTATTTTCAATTGAGTCACAAGCTACTTATCTTCAAGAAAAAAACACATTATATTTTACAATGGCCTTTAAAAAGTAATTTAATGGTTCGGTTTTTGGTCGTAATTTATGTATCTAATTTTGTTTGGCTAATTGATCCTTATTATTAACTGATTTTTTTCTAATTAATCTTTTTTATTAACTAAGGTTTTTTAACAATATTTTATTTAAGTTAAGTCAGAAACCTTTGTGGTATAAGTGCAGACAAAACCGTATAGAGCACGCTACACGAATATTTCGCCTACTTTGAGGATTATTTGTGTAACATATATGTCTTTCAGAAGTTTTCCAATATAAAGCTAATTTTTTTTTTTAAATACACGTTTATATTTAAGAAAGAACAATTTTTTTGAATTTTTTTTTTGCTATTTTTGCTAGAGAAGGATATTTTAAAGAGTTAAATAAATGTTTTTAACAGAAATGAAACAGCAAGGCTATGTAACGGTTCTATATTTGTAAGAATTGGTAGTAAAACTGTTTACAGGCGTTTTACACATAAAACCTAACTTACAAAATGCACAAATGTCAAATATAAATTAAATCATAAGTGCATCTTGCTTATGTGTCATTGATATGTAAAGTTAGGTTTTTAGTGTAAAAGCCTGATCGCACAGGAAGTACATAACTTTTTGACAGTTTTTACTATCAATTCATATGAAGATAAGACCGTGACATAGCGTTGCCATAACATTTCTATTGTTTAGGAGAATTGGCCTCAACGTTAAATTCTAATGCTGTTCCCTCCGTAGATCAAAAACAAATTTATAATTTAGCAAAAGTTAAAGTCAATTAAAATTTAATATGTTGAAGTACATATTTGTATAAAAACACAGCGATAAAAAATACCAAAAATAAATAATATAAATAAAGTATCGATAAAATCCACAAATAGGTGTACATCGTTCAAGCCTCTTTATCATAAATCCATATATTCATTACCAAAGGTTATCAGAAGCCGCAGATTTTGACAACATGACATATATTCAGAGTAAATTTGGTCTCTAAAATATATGTTCTTCGAGTATATAAGTCATAAGGGTCCGGTTGACCTAGAATAATATTTCTTGGAAACTCGCAACCCGAATGACGTCCTAAAATATTTGAATATAAATCGAAAGAATTCCAAAGGGTTGATGAGGCGGTTTGAGATATATACGAGGGACGCATCTTCTGAACCCGAAACGAAAAATGAGAAATATTTTATTACAAGAATTGATATAAAAACGATTTATAAGGAAGATATAACCATTTTTATTACATGATTTATACTAGAACGAACGATGTATTCTATATGTGAGCTAAAATGAATATTCTCAGCTTTACGAATATTATAGTTTTTTATAAATAAAATGTATTCAAAATCAATTTAATTGTGGTATAATTGCCATAGACTTTCGAATTACATTAATGAAAAGACATCATTATAATTTTAAGTAAAACTTGTTTTTGCTGCAAAAAAGTCACGTCGTTTTTACCATTATTTATTTTATGATGTGGACAAAATTTGTTTTCAGAATTTTATCACTTGTTTGGTTTTATAATTCTAAAAATTTAGCTCTTGCCGTGACCAGGATTCGAACCTGGGTTACCACGGCCACAACGTGGGGTCCTAACCACTAGACGATCACGGCTACTGAGCTCTTACTTTTGTTAATAACAATTATATTATTGCAAGAAAATATTCCGTCAACATTTTAATTTGAATTAAATCGTTCAAAATTTTGTCATAACAGCAGTGGCAATTCTCAGTTACACATGACGGTGAAATTAAGTATTCAAAATTTTATAAGAGTTACTCTGTGCCATTTGGAGGTTATGATTTATTATTTGAACATTCAAATATGCGGCATAGGTATAGCTTTTTTACAGTTTCGTGCCAACATAAGGCCAACATAAAAAAATAATAACATATCACTATGAAATATAATACGAATAAGACCATGGGAGATGGGTAACATAACATAGCTATTTTATCGAAAATTGGCTACTAGATTACCCTTTATAGATACGCAGCTTAAATCGAATAGTACAGTTGATATATTTGCGACGTATGTTTTTGAAAGAAACTTATTTCAAAATTAATATTATAATTAATTCCTGTATAAAATCAAAGACAGAAGTCCAATTGCTTTTATATTTTTTTCCACAGATTTTCTAAAATTGTTTTTACCAAATTTTTTTTTTCTGTAGAGTTTTATTTTCAAAGCTTTTTTTTTCCATGGCAATTTGAGACATAGTTTACTCGTCAATGATTATGATAATCATTTGTTGATTATAATATAAAATAATATTGTAATATAAAATTATTAAAATATTAGTCATAAAAGAATTGAATTTCTAAATACTTGTGACGGAAAGTTACAGAAAAAAGCAAAATTCTGCCTCTGCCGTGACCAGGATTCGAACCTGGGTTACCACGGCCACAACGTGGGGTCCTAACCACTAGACGATCACGGCTACCGAGCTGCTTATAGTTTTCAAACAATAATAAAATTGCAACAAAATACTTCATTTGGCTTTAATTTGATTCATTTCTTGGAAAGTATAACTCTTTACAGGTAAACAATTTAAATTTAGATCAATGTTTGCATTTCAGACATTTTACTCCAAAATATTTTTTATAAATTGGTGAGATATCGAGTTTGAAATTTTCTTAAATTAAAATTATTTATTGCTTTTAAATATATTTTAGTAAAGTTGTATCAAGATTTATGGGGTATTGAAATTAACAAAATCATTGTTAGGTAATTTTCACTTAAAATTTAGATTTCAATTGAATTTGTGTTAAAGGCAACGCTACAAGTTTCTAAAAATCAAAACTTTTCAATTCATAACATATTTGTGTTCATATGAAATATGTGTTTCTTTGACTAAAAAAGTAAATTACATATTGTTTGATTGTTTTAAAATAAAATATAATTCAAAGCTCTGCCGTGACCAGGATTCGAACCTGGGTTACCACGGCCACAACGTGGGGTCCTAACCACTAGACGATCACGGCTACCGAGCTGGTTGTTTGTTGTAAATGATAATAAAATTGCAAAACAAAATCTATAAAAGGTTCAATTGGATTCAGTTTATACCTATAAATATTACCCTTCACAGGTACACAATTTGAAATTAGATCAAACCTTGCATGTTAAATTTGGGTATCATACTTATAACACCAAAATGTTCTTTAAAAAATAATGAGTTGTAGAGTTTTGAATCTTTCTTTATTGAAATTTGAAATAATGGTTGGTGCTTTTAAATGTATCAAAATAATTCATAATTTTCTAAAGAAAGAAAATTTTGAGAAAAACCAAAAATTCGAGCTCTGCCGTGACCAGGATTCGAACCTGGGTTACCACGGCCACAACGTGGGGTCCTAACCACTAGACGATCACGGCTACCGAGCTCTGTAATTTTCACGGCGATTAATTAATTCAATTAAAATATTTAATTACTCATTTAGATTTGCAAATATCTGCCTTCTTATTTACTCACATTGTAGCATACCGTATGAAAAAAGACAAAAAATTAGAGCAATAACCGTGCTACTGTTGATTGTCTAAATAAAATGCAAATCTAGTGATAGGATGCGTTGACAAAAAGATAGTACTTTATTATGTACAAAAATTCATA